CAGACGTTTACTCCCTTTTGAAGGGACAACAAAAACGCCTTTGTCGACATTTGGGTATAAGGATATGGCATTTGCGTGTTTTTTGACCAATTTTTTTCTAAGAATATTCATCTTAAAATAACTATGAACTCATCTGAGATAAAATGTGATATATAAATTAAGAAACAATGTTTTTTCATATATTAGGTGATAGTTACGCCCCCTAGATCTAAACATCTTAGAAAATTCTGGCACATTGACGAGTCGCCATCTGGACAAACCTAACAAGGCTGAGCCGAATGCTCAGCCTTATTAGGTCTCACGATTTGAGGAGCCCATGCGATTCTTTTTCGAGTGAAACAAAGATCTTCAAAATAGGTTTAGTCAAAATGAAGTTTTGTGTATTTTACAATTACACCAACAGAAAGTGCGGAAATTGGGCAGCCAGCATGTTTAATTTTTGAAATTGAAATTACGCCACAAAGCTGCCATTTAAGAAATATAAATATAATTTCCAGCAATTTATCTTCTGACCACCCTGACACGTCCTTGATTATTGGCCCACCTGGTACATACGTATCATTAGAATGAACGTATACAGAGTTTCGATCTAGGGAACAATTTTTCTTAGTTTTTCAGTAAAAACCAGGCAACCAAGCCTAGTTTGCATATTATGAATAATTATTATTTCTTTGAAATAGCTGAAAAAAGTTCATAACTCGCAAAGGTCTCACTTGTAAATTGAACGTTCACGATTCTGCGGCTTCGTGTTTCACCGAGTGCCAGTGGGATTCCCATCCCAAATATGAGTCAGTGAAATGCAGAATTCCATCTGTTCTGTACTTCTATCGTTTTTTCATCCACAGGCCATGCCAATTATTACCCACGTTTGCATTGGGCTGAGCATTTTATATCTGTCAAACATAAACATTGGAAATTGCTAGGCAGCGCACAGTTTTAAGAGTGTAGGGTGAATAAAAAACAATGAAAACCGAAAATAATTGTAGGTCAGCCCACGCCACCTTCCTCGCGACCATTGGCGTAGTAAATTTATAATAGAAACCTACAATCTATGTGACAATTCCAAAACACCTGCCCGTAAATGGTTTGGACTTATTAAACATCTGGAAGCAGCAGTAGCTAGAGAAGTTTCAAGAACGATGTCACTGGTTGCTTTCTGTATTGGAAGACCACCTGGTTGTGACCTCCCTTGAAATGTATGGTCAAACCTCAACAAAATCAATACACAACATGATAAATGTTCGCATTTACATAGTGTTAATAACGTAACTGACCAAACTGCGACGGGAGATGTACTGGATGATTCTAAGGAATTGATTCATATAAAAATGTGTCCCTTGCTTTATTATAGAAATATTGGGTCTTAAGCTATTGAATGAAAAGAAACGTAGTAACCCTTTAGACTCAATTTTTGAGTTTACCAGGTACCTAAAAGAAAAATTGAAAATTTTCAATTTGTTTTTTCCAAGTCAAATGAAATTTTAACATTTTTTCAGTACTACGTTCCTGGAAAACGTCTGAACTTATTTTTTAAGTCACCAACGCACTCAAGTACTTTTATTGTAACATATGTGGCCATTCCAATTTACATGATATAAGAGTTGAAAGAGTTCAAATGAGTTCGTAGCTTGCTTCGGTCGTGGTTTTGAATAATGCAGGTCCTCTCTCTTCTGTATTGTGTACCTTCAAATTCAAAAATACTGTAACCACTTATTTTCCATTGGGAGGTTTAAAGGCAAATAGCGACCGGCTATTAAGAATTTTAACAGTGATCTATCTTCTGCATGCCGTCAATATAACAACAGGTTATTTTAATCTTCTACAATAATATTTTTTCATTGATCCGTATATGCTCAAGGATCCACCTATAGACAACCATGCTGCCAGCTCTACTATCCTGTAAATACATTGCTTGCTTGTCAAACGGCTTCGCAGGAATGTTACGAGAAACGACTTTCGTCTATTTTTTTATATTTGATTTTTGTAGATCTCGACACGTCGAATAAGCGTCCATGAGACCAAAGACTGTTCATGAGATGTTTCCAAGGTTACCTCTGAGCTGGGCAGCCCGCACCCTATTACAGCGTTCAACACGCAATATGTAACAGCCGCTTGATATTTATTTACGTTTTTATTATCATCCCTCTAGCGGGTACATAAACACTGCAAATGTTCATGATGCCCCAAAGGTGCGTCGATGGAGTATTGGCCCAAGATACTGATTTTTCCAAAAACTGTTCAAGGTTAACCTGAACCGTATCTCTGGTAACACATTTCAAAAATGATTGAAGAAATGTATCCCACTATCTAACTGGACATCAAAGTCGATTTTTATTGATATATGTTTATCCATATTTTCATTACATATTAGGATAGACTTTACTTATGCTCCTCATTTTTGTTGATTCTTTTTTTTGAGATACTACGTAGATTGTTACAAAACCAATGAAAGTTTCTTTATTTATACAGGGTGGCCGATATGTAACTGACCGGCTTGTATATTTAATATTTGTGAAATAAAATAAAATACGTTCATTTTTTTCATTTTAATCTTTTATTGAAACTTAGAAACTATGTATGAAAAATAATATCAGACAAATACCCTCCTCCCTTTTTGGTAGGTCTCAGGAGGAATATCTTTAATCGCTTCCATAAGCCCTATTTTTCAAAAATCCTCATAAAAACAGGAGCCATTAAATCCGGTGACCTTGTTGGCTAGTTGAAGTCACCAAATCGAGAAATTGAACCACATACTTTGCAGGTTAAATTGTTGGATTTGAGCAGCCAGCAAGTTTTGCACCATATGACGGTAGCGCTCTCCAGTGGTAGTGGTACTTGCTGCGTGTTCAAAGAAGTGAGGTCTAATGACACCTCCATACCAAACACCGCACCAAGCTGTGACCCGACGAGGATGAAGTGGTCCTTAATGGGTCACACGAGAGTTATCTAATGCCCTTAGCCAATGGCCACTTACATTACTAGTGGCGTTGCAGGTTATTGTAAATGAGCGGTTATTTATTACGATTAGAAAAATTACTTAGGTAATAAAGTATGCGCCCATATGTACCGCCACTGGACGTTTGTTTTTTACCTGGCCGTACCTTAAGGTAGGCACAGTCAGAGATGCTCGCGAAGGACGGGACACCCGCATATTCCGCCTACGCATCCTTAAATCAACATAGAAATTGGGGATATTTTATTTATTGCTTTTTCACAACTGCTGACACTGGCACTACCTTAATGTGATCGTTAGGGCGGGGCGTATTATTGTAAACAATACAAACCTCTCAGCCCGCAAAGTATAATTTGCGGAGGATTCGCGTCGTTTTATTGTTATATTCGTATTGTCTGCTCTGTGAGGTATACTTATGTTTATGTTTAACGTTTGCCATTACGTACATGTGCGAGACAGGCGCTGAAAGACTTGATGTATTTATGGAGACAAATGATAGGTCGATCTGCTGCTTGCGTCTGAGCATTTTACAAAGTAAATCGAAAAACTACCTTCTAGAAGGGTCATAGAAATTGGAGTTCATCAAAAAAAAATGCGTCGACCAGGTTGGCTCTTCACTTCCTACGCGTCAGTGTTATTCAGTTCATAAAGGACTATGTGCAGCACAGTTTGGCGTCTCTGAGAAAGTTAGATACGAACATGTATAAAAAAATAAATGGATTAAGTTACAATTAGAATTTACAAATTTAGCACGATTTTCTGTACAATTTTGCGACTCTTTATGACTTGATTTCCTGATAAAAATGTTACCACTCCTTCTTCAAAAAGTTTTGGAGACATTTACGCTTTCACACAAAGTTATCTTTTGCTGATGAATGACCCTCCCCATCTCTTGAGAAAAATCCCTGCAGGCGCGCATTGTCAAAACTATGTTATCGAACTATGTGATCGACAGTCCACATCCAGTCGAGTAGCGGAAGTCGACTGCCACACACCAATGGATCGGGCTCATGCACAAACATACACGTACAGTCTAAATTTGCACAAACATTTATTCAGCTTTCTTATTTAATTAAAAAATAAAAACGGAGTACATTCTGATGCTCCATATTGTTCTTTTTTCAGTTTTCACTTCACTTTTAGGAGAAAATAAATCCACGTAAAGCAAACGACACGTTCACGATACCCCCAAATTGTTAGAACTGGTGAAACTATTCTATCCAAGACATCCTTTTGGCGTTACCGACCACCACAGGCAGTGTCGTGAAAGGTCGTTTTTTAGTGATTTGTGGGTTGGTCAACAAACAAAACATGCGCTGCTGGACTGACACCACTTCTCGCAAATTGCATCAAAGGTCTTTGCATTCACCAAGATGAGGTGTGCAAGCTTCTCAGCTGGAATTATTGGTCCCTGATTCTTTGAGGAAAATGAAGCCTCAGATTTAGTGAATTCGGACCGGTATGTAGGTAAACATGTTACAGAATCTTTTTCCGCAGCTAGATAAGTTTGTCTTGGGGGGCTGTTGGTTTCAACAAGATGGTACAACGGCACACACTTCAAGAGCATCGATGACTGTTTTGAGGGAGTGGCCGGCTCGCTCTCCCGATTTCGCCTCTTGTCATTTTCTTATATGCCATTTTTGAAACCCAATGTTTATGTGAACTGCCCAAGGACCTCACAGGATTTGAGAACCAACATGCCTTTTCGTAATAAAAAACCAAAAAAATGTTCTGATCCATACGATGGGTTTTATTGAGATTTCTAAGCAGAAAGATATGCTACCCCACCCTGTATATTATGGAAGTACTTACATCACAGGACTAGGACAATTACGTATTTTCGTAGTTCACGAAAGCCTTGACATGTTACAATAAGATCATGTAGTATTAAATGAAATAATCTTAATTACGTATTGCATTACTGACAACTAGTGTTTGCCTCTGTAGAATGACGATAGGCTCGGGGCGGTGCGATCGTGGGGTAACACATTCAAATACTAAAATCATTAAAAATCCGTCGACAAACTGGCATTGTATCGAATCGGGGATGACAGATGACTGCGGAAACGGGGAGGATGGAAGGAGAGAAAAGTTTTCGCATGTAGCGGACGAGACGGACAAAACTGCAGACTGCCGTCTCTGCCCGGCGAAACACATGTAATCATTTTTTAATGGCAGCGATACATCATACATTGCAACAATGCCGAGGCCGTGATCGATATGACGCCATGCCGACGAATCCGAAATCGCCAGCCAATGTTGAACTTTTTTTCGTTTGTTTCACCCTTTTGTGTGTTTTTCATGACCGGCTTCACGGTTGGCGCTGTGCTAACAAAATTGCCATAATGTGTTCTATTATTTTTGCTTCCGATGAATGTAGAAGAGGGCGGTGACAAAATTCTCATTGTTATAAAGTCAATGGCCTTAGGCTCAGCTATACAGAAGGAAAGAAAATAAGTCTGTATCCAAGTTTATTTTGAGTAAACTAAACCTTCCATAATCTGTTTCCCTAAACATTAAAGGATATATAATATACCGTAGACATTTTTTTATCCTTTTTTGCCAATGAATGTTAACAGTTCCCTGTAATTTCCTCTATTGTCAGAGTCATCCCCTTCAAAATGAACGGTAATTCCTGTTTTGCCAAAAAACATACGGTATCTAGAAGTATGCTGCCAAAAAGCTTGGTTAAGGCAACTTTCGATTCTTGTTTTGCCAAACTGAACTAAACTGGCTACACATCTCACATGTAACGGAGAAATTTCATGTCTCCTCTTTAGAGCCCTAAAACTATTTAAATCGTTGACTCCGCTGCTGGTCCACCCATGTTTTTCTGTATAGAACAGAAGACATCGCCAACAATACAATCTGTTTCTTTGCAACCACATAACCAAGACTTTCCATATACCAACTTAATTTAAAATATCAAACTAGGTTTGTTATTCCTTTTTAAAATTATCTGAAATAGGTGTTGGTCTTCCATCTTCAATGATCTCCTTGTTTTTCTTAAAAATTATACAAGGAGAATGACTTTTCAAGTAGTTGATCGATTACGCAGCGACACTCATCCATGTTTAATTAGGCGCACCCTACAGCCGGTAACCAAAACGGCTACGAATGAGTGAGCAGTGAGTAACCAAATCAAAAAATGGTAACAAGCCCACATAACAGTCGCAGCGCCCCACGCACTCGGGCGACCGCGATCAGACACGAGCCGACACCGAAGGTCCCCGACGGACTACCAAGTGTATCCATAAATAAAAATGGTAACAACCGACAACCAAGTCAGCTTCATCGTGTTCGCAAAACCTAGACACTATAGGGCGCACTATTTTCGTGGGGCTAATTTGCTATTTACTGAATTACTATTACATATCGCTGTTGGTAGACAAATAAATGAAATTATTTTTCAGTACTTAGTGATATATTTATTTTTAAGATTTTTAACTGTTACCAATAGAAACAATGGTTACATGGACGCTTCGCCACTGCTATTCACATAAGTAGCGACACTAAGCCTCATCGAGCGCAATTGTTTTCAGATATAATGTACGTACTGATTAAAGTACAAATTTCCATTTTGAAGAAGGAGGCAGTAGTCGAGACATCACTAAAACCACACTACTATGTGGTTTCCTTTGGCCAAGAAATTATGGAGCTCTATCAGCGTGAAACCCACAGGACAAGTGTCAGTTGTTATATCAACCAATTCTAACTAAGGTATATCATACTTTTTCCTTTCAAAGTGCGTTTCAAAGTACACTAAAAATCAAAACGTGCATCTAATAACATTTTATGTCAGATGTGAGCTGTTGGGATGCGATAAACTCGTATGGTACTTTACAACAGCACAAATGAACGCTAGTAAGACAGTAATGATTCTTACCAACATTCTTCCAATATATGCAGTTACGACGATATTTAAATCCTTCATATTATTTATTTTTAACATAAGCTGGCGGTGACAAATATTCAAATCGCTTAAACAGCAAATTTTATTAGACACACATGTAATGTATCGATACACAGTGTATTCCATTTGAACAATGAATTTTTGTGTAGACACGTAGTTACGAATCACCCTTTGAGGATGTAAGATGATAATCACCGATTTCTTTTTTCATAGATTCAGAACCTATATATAGTATCTATAAATTTCGATAAATACTGTGAATGATTGTCTTTTATGATGGAAGGCATGTATGTACTATAACGGTTGTCATTAGGACTCTGTTTTAAGTGAAAAAACCAACGATGGAGTTCGTTGGACGATGAAATTTATATTATTTTGAATACCACCAAACTATACTTTCCGGAATATTTTCATTCTCTCTCGATAACTACTTCGTTTTTTGACACGCCTATTTTGCCAGTACCCCTTAGAAGTCGGGGTCCTAACAGTAGGGTCAGGTTACGGAGAAATATTAATAGCATTTAGAGAAAAATTCGAAACAATTTTTCAATCTCATGCCTTGCTCACACACAATAAAATCCGTCTAAGTTTTAATAGATTGTTGCGTCTTAGTCTATCAATCACGCAGTCTCAAGAAGAGGAAAAAGAAAGATTAATTTGACAAGATTCATTCTAAAACTGAAGAGCGGCATTAATCCTAATCTTGTCGTGGTAACAATAATAGTAAATAGTCTCATTTTCGGGTCGACGGCGTTAGTTGGTTTTGTATATGAGGTTAAAAATCAGCTCTACGGGGGGTTTGTACGGGCTTCAGTTTCCCATATACCAGTGTTATAGGCCAGGAACAGCAGACGGTACAAGCAGTTAAAGAGGTTTAAGGCTCATTCTCAAAAATGCCCACACTATGTTGTCTGATGTTCAGTTACCATAAGTGTTATAGGCAAACATGTCTTCCTTATCCTCAATTTACCAAGGTGACGAGCATTATGTCTGATCCGTCAGAGCATAATACTTCCCTATTTTCAATACTTTCACGCGACGTCATCAGCTTAGAAATAATGATGTTCGCAGACTCACACTGTCGACTATTGTTAAGTGTTTAAAGTAAACATCCTAAAACACCACCTCCTGATTTTTTTTCGAATTTTTAGTCCGTTTTCAAAAACTACATATCTACTGCATTATTGCCACAGGAATAAGGTTTCATCGGCACTCGAATGATCGTTTTCACAGCTAAATGATGTTCTATTGTGTTTGTGCGCAAACTTTCTAATAACTGAATGTGGAACCTCAACTTTCCATACAAAATTTACTTCATTTTTTTATTCGGGCATTTAATGTAAGACGTAGGACTGAACGTGACACCGAATCTGCTAAGCAGGTATTTACCAGTTCACACAGATTGTTGTTTGCTTCTCGTTTACTGGCTCGCTTTACCCATCACAGATTTTGTACCTCTACAAGAAAATACGAAAATGAAGGGTCATGAAGTTCAAAAAGTGATTTCTCATTTTCTGCATTTTTATGAATACACTGCGGCACTTCATCGTTTTTGAAAGATTACCAGTCTAATTTTAGTCGTAGCATCAGAACTTTATAAAAATCAAAACCATAATTTTTTGGAATGTCGGGACTTGCTGTCAAAGGAACCGGGGGCACGGGATTTTCGGTATTTTGTTTTCGTATTGAAATTAATTTAAAAAATGTTGCTTTATGATTAGTTCTAATTTCATATAAATTGTTTGTCATATATCATTTATTGAAGTACAAGCTAGTAAGTAGTGACTTTGTGCAAAATGGCGATAGGCCGCGGACGGGATTAATTTCAATTTTGAACATAGTGAAGTTAATAACTCTGCGTGCGACCATTCGTCCGGCCAGCCGTGTACTGCGCTGTTTCATGCTCATTGGCAATCATCAGCACGGTCTAGCTTTTCAGGTGGGGCAACAAACTAAGCAGAGCAAAAGTATTGTCTATCAGACATGTAATTAACGGCGGGTAGACCATTATATAATATTATCTCAAGAATTACATAACGGCATCTAGCGGACATGACGATGACACGGCTACCGACGCGAACTGAGTTGCCTTCATGTCTCCAATATCTTCCTGTCTACTTTCACAGTGGTCGAATTCGAAGATAGATGAGTCAATTTCATATTTTTATTAAGAAGTTTATTTCCCGCGACTATCCTAGTTGCTCATGACTTGTGCATGCCTCTCTCTGAACGATCTTGAAATTATACTAGCAGTTGGCAGTTATTCTGCTTTTTAGTAGCACTTGCAAGTGTATGCTGAACATTCTGCATTTGAGCTTTCTTTAATTGATACACTGAGTAATTTTATATATTGTCATATTATATGTCCGAAACTTTAGCATTTATTTATGTTACCGAAGTGTATTATTATTGACGTACGTGTCCTGCACTATAAACATCCTTTGCCGTTCAGATTGTCCGAACCTGGAAATCTTTTTGTGTGTAGACGTTATATTTTGACCCAATAACCCATAAAAAGGATTTCAGGTACAAGCAAAGGGAGAGGAGCCCAAAGAGAGACCAAGTCCAGGTAAGGATTCCACTGTTTTTAGCTTTTATATTCGGTTTCACAGTTTCATATTTTTTTTATCTCCGAGTACAAAGAGCCTTATGCCGGTGTGTCTGGAGAAAGGGATGAAACGGGGAGTCGAGTTCAATCGCTGGTATTCCTCTGACGGGTGTCTATCATCTGTTCTTAGGGTGAGAAAGATTCGCTTCATGTGTGTTTTGTTGTTCCACGCAGATGGGCATACAATGTTGACCAGAATCAATACAAATATCTGGTTTAGTAGACATTAGTCATAGTTGGGTGAAAATCACTGAAATTCAAGTTACGCAGAAAGGTTGTCCATACACGCATACCAGAAAGAAAAAAAAATTCTGGCTTCAAACACTATTCGAATACATTTGTGTTTAGTATTTGCTATTCAATTGAATACTTTTTGGTCAGTATTCAGTATGCTGGATGCTGAATACCATTTCTGAATCTCAATATTCGAATACCCATTTTCAAATCCCGGTATTCGAATCATGTATTGAAGTCCTATTTTTGAATCTTTATAAATATTGCATTACGCTTTACGGCACTTGAGCATATTAAAGCACGTTCGCGTGGTTATGGATAGCACAGACAAAATAGCTGCGCAAAGTTATTTTGCTGTGGACGGTGGTGTTTCTGATTTCACGATGCTCACAGATCGCTTAA